GAGACAAAAGTCAGAAAAGGGAGACAAAAGTCAGAAAAATAAGAAAATGAGAAATACGTAGTATTATAGATAGCATTTCAAGAAAATGATAGATGAAGAAAGCAAATTAGATATTTGAGGTATAAAATCAGAGGAAGAGTTTTAGAAACTTTTTGATGCCACAGAGAAGAGAAAATGGATAGCTGCTAGAGGTTTGTGTTCTATAAAGGAAGGTCTCAAGTTTTGTTCATTTTGTTTTGAGACTGGGTGAGAATCAACCACTTTTGTAGGGTAAGAGAAGTTACCTGGAAAAAAAGAATTTGAATATGAAAGAGAGAGAAAAGGCATGTGTTCCAGGTTCCCAGAGGCAAGTGAAGAGAATGGGATTTGCATCTAGGTGAAGGATTTATCAACAGAAAAAAAAATGCAATTTATTTTCATTTCAACGTGTTTCAATTGTTGAGTCTTTGGTGCCTACTTTTTCTTCACTTCAGGTGTACGGATGAGAAACCTATGGAATGTCTAGCTACTCTAGGCAAGATTATTTTGCAAGTGGGTTGAATTTTCAAAAGGAATAAAAAAGTTAGATGTGTTAAATATAAGTGTTTTTGAGGATTAAAATAAAGTATTATTCATTCTGTGCTGAAAACTGGAGTGGGAATCAAGAAATATTTGGTGGATGAGTTCATGAATTGTGGCAATCACTTCCCTATGTATAATGTGTTAGATCATCACTATGTATATATAATTTAAATGTGCACAATGATATATATCAATTATATCTCAATGAAGCTCAGGGGAGGGGAAAGAAACTAGTTTAGTGCTTGCCAGGGGCAGAGGTGATGGGGAGATTAGGGAACGATGAAGTGTACAACTAAGATCAGGGATTTCTTTATATGGAATGATGAAAATATTTTAAAAGGGATTAAGGAGTAATTGCAAACTGAATGCATTAAAAACCATTGAATTCACTTTAACTGGGTGAATTGTGTGGCCTGTAAATTATATGCTATATTGATTGTAATTGCAATATAAGCTGTTCCTTATCACCAGTAAGTTAGAAGATTAATCCATTTATCTCTTAGTAGTTCTCAGAATTTTGTGACTCCAGTGTTTTAGCATATTTGACTTAAAGTGCAATTAGTTCAGTTTTTATAATAAAATACCTTAGAGGTATATTAACTTATACACCTGGAGAAAGGGAACAGCTCAACAGACATCATATTGTTTGAATGACTAGGTGAATTTATATTAAAAAACAATATTCAAGTGCCTAAGTGGCTGGAGGAAAATTACTCAAAGAAACATAGTGCTAGTATCAATAATCACAACATATTTATTTAATTGTATTATATATTTAAAAAATTGTGACAGTTATTTGGAACTACAGCAGATCTTGACTAACAAAAACACTCCTGAGAAAAAAGAATGGAGGTTCACACTTCCAGACTTCAAACAGTATTACAAAGCTATAGTGATTAAAACAGCTGGTATAGCAATAAAAAGCAAACATAACAGGACAGCCTCATCCAGAATGATTAAAGTCCTGGACAATTTCATACCATACCCAAAATAACTCAAAATGGATTAAAGTCTGGGATATAGGACCTGAAATCTTAAAATACATAGAGGGAAGCAGAGGTGATATACACTATCACATGATCCTTGAAGATGAGTTTGGAGGCTGAACTTCAGCAGCAAGGGAAACAAAATGAAATAAATAAATGGCACTACATCAAAGTAAAACACTTATGCATAGCAAAAGAAACTTGCATCAAAGCAAAAAGACATTCTCCTAAATGGGAGAAGATATCTATATACCATATGTGTGATGGAAATTGATACACAATTATACAAAGAACTCAACAATAAAAAACAGCCCAATTAAAAAAAGTCCATAGGGAATCTAAAGAGACACTTCTCAAAAAAGATATACAGATAGTCAATAGACACATAAAAAGATGTTCCTCATCTAGTTATTAGGGAAATGAAAATCAAAATAGCCTCACAATGCAAATTCATATCAACTTCACAACTGTGAGAATGTCTGTTATCTAAACGATAAGAGACCATGAATATTAGAAAAGATGTGGCCACAAGGGAACCTTTAAACTTTATTGGTAAGAATGTAAATTGATAAGGTCACTGTGTAAAGCTGTATGAATATTTCTCAAAAATTAGAAATTAGAAATGTTAAACACCCTATTTCCCCACTTCTGGGAATTTATCCCCAAAATAATTTGGAAAGATATATGTACCCCCATATTTATGGCAGCATTATTTACAGTAGCTAACAATTATACAAATGTAAGTCACCATCAACTGAAAAATAAAGATGTGATACACACATACACATACACACACACAAATTTATGTATACAACACAATGGAATACTGAAAATACATCCAGCTCTAAAAAAAAAAAAAAAAGAAATCCTGTCATTTGTAACAACATGGATGGACCTTGAGTGTATTATGCTAAATGAAATAAATCAGACAGAGAAAATCAAACACCATGCATGTGATTTCACCCATGTGGTATATAGAGACAACAAACAGATGAAATAAAACAAAAATAAACTTTTGGTCTATAAGACCAGTAAGTGGTTTACTAGAAAGAAAGGGGAGAGGTGATGGGGAAATTAGGACAAAGGGGACAATTGAGTGATGAAGAATAAAATTAGACTGTTGGTGGTGAACTTAATTTTGATTTTAATGATGTGTGGCTTTAAGCTACATGTTATAATGCAATGTTACTTCAATAAAGAAGACTTAAAAATAAGTTTCACTATATTGGATTGTTAATCTACATTGACTGTCTAATAGAAGAGTGACAGAATTTTGTCTACAAAAACTATGCCACTAAAATATAAGGCATCGTTTGGAATTATAGAAAACAAAAATAATAAACAAAAAATAAAATAACACCCCAAAAGCCCAAAATCATAAAAAGCATTTTTTTCTTTTGGTATTTCCACCTAGAAAACTTACTGCATTCATGGTTGCTGTGTTTAAAGACCTAATAGAATTGGAGGGAAACAGCCTTTCAGTTCAACTGATATTGTTATATGTAAAGCTTATTCTATTTGTTGTCTTTAGAATAGGATCCATTACTAACTGAAGTAGCGAGAAGGAGAGAAAGACTCATGAATACGTAATTAAAATTCTATGAAGTAAACATAGCAATAGAGGTCTGCAGAGTAGACAAGATGCATAGAGAAGAGTCAAGAACAACTTTCCAACAGATAGGAAAGTGAACCAGCTTAACCAGTGATACAATTTCATCACCAGAGGTTGTTTGAGAGTGGTAAGAGAAGTGTATTAGTAATGCTCAAAATGTGGAATATGGTTGTTCACAGACTCTTACTATTTTTTTTAAATTTTTCCCCTTTTTGTATACAAGAGCTGGGGTGTAGGCCAGAGGTAAAGGGGGTGAGAGGTTTCATCAGAGACAGAGTGAGGAGGAGAACAGACAGACTGACTGAAATACACTACTGAGGGGAGCAGCAGATGAGACAGGAGAGGTCTGCTGAGCCATTGCTACCTGACTGGGGGTTGAAGTCATGCTGCAGATAGCCTCAAAGTGCTGAGATTTAGCAGCACTTAACAGTTCAGTGTTTGACCTCATAGATCTAATGAGAATAGTTTCAAAGTCACTATTCTTGAGGAAGCAGAAAGTTTTTGTTTAAGGACCCTAATTATATATTACTTTTCCCTTACTACATCCGTTTTTGGTTGTAGTGTGATCCATTTATAGATCCATTTTCGGATGTACTGTGATGGATTTATAGATTAATGAAGTAAGTCAAGTCCAAGGCAGAATTTCTTAGTTTTCTGTAACCTTTTATCCTTTCAGTCTAATGAATCTTAAGTCATTTTTTATTTTCTCATAACTTCTCACATTATTGATAAACTCTAAAGGCATACTTTTTTTTTAACTGGAATCTGAGAAGGACATTAGACTGTCACTGGGACCCTTTCTCTATATCCTGGCAGACTTAGGTAGAGGGGAGGAAAGCAAAAGAGTCTGGAATCTGGACTCCATCAAAATGTAAAACCATGGACACTGATGACCAGTTCCTGGAGGCCTGCTGAAAATGGTAAAGAATTACCTCTTGAAAACATCAACACTTCAAGATTTATGTCCATTTTGAGAATACATTAGACTAAAAATAGTCTCTTGAGTTTCTCTGCCTTTTATTCATTAAACACACTATTTGTATTCTCTTTCTTTCTCATCAGCTCTGGCAGTTCAGCCTCATTTGATTCTAAACACAGACTGAGATATCTGAGTCCAATAAGATCCAAGTCGTTGTCTTCCTTAAAATATCAGTAGAATTTCACTGTTCAGTGCCTGATTAATTTTTCCAGCATTACTATTATCATGAAACTCCTTTGTTCAATAATTTTCAGTGATACCTTAATTTATACGATTGTTCTACTTTCTCATGAATGCTTAATTTGAAATACTCTCTACTATCTATTTCTGGCACTTTCCTCACAGCCCTGTAAACACATATTTCTTCTGTACTTGCCTTCATGGTTTTGTTTTTTTCACCTATAGTGTCTTATTTTCCCTTTCCATTTAAATCCAATGGATTCTTCAAAACTCAATTCATAAACAATCCCTGGAAAATAATTTTCCCTAACAACTGTTTTTATTAATTTTCCTTTCATGTGAAATGTAGTAGAATTTGAAGTTGTACCACAGTTTGGTATGTTACTGTGTATCATTGGTTATTCCTTATTTTTGTTTCAGTTATGCCATTCTTTTTCTCCAAGTAGACTAAGTTTATTGAGAACCTGTTAAAATTTAATTCTGGGAAAGATAATACCCCTTGAATTAATCTATTACTCATGCTTATTTCCTCAGTGACTTCTGTGCTAGCTAAATAGGTTTGATCTTATGTCTGGGCATGAATTGAAGTGTGATAAATAATATCAAGCATATTATTTCCAAGTATAATGTAATAGCATATGTATATGTATTTGTTCTGAATTTGTCAAATTTTTTCTTACAGCTATTTCCTTATTTGAAGTCCAGCCCATTTCTACTGAGGTCCAAGAAGGTGGAGTTGCTAGATTTGCTTGTAAGATTTCATCAAACCCTCCTGCCATTATAACTTGGGAATTAAATCGGACAACCCTACCTGTAACTATGGACAGGTAATACAGCTTTGTCTTTGGGGACAGATTAATATAGGAGTAACAAGAACATCATCATGAGATTACATGGTGGGTGTGGTGTATACTATACATCTAAAGAGGCATGAGCCTATAACCCTAAGTCATACACAGTGTTATAAATTGTTACCTCACTAAAAAAAAAAATACATTAAAAAAAAGAAAAGAAAAGACAATTAATGAATGGGTTCTCTGATATAAGAATTATAAATAGGCCCTCCCTGGTGGCGTAGCAGGTTAAAGCACTGCACTATGAAACTTAAGCCACTTACGCACGAGTTCTATCCCCGCCTGCCCTGGAGGAGATCCACATGGCGTGGCAGACCTCTCCTGACCCGCCCGCTGCTCCCTCAGCAGTGTACTTCGTCGATCTGTCTGTTCTGCTCCCCACTATGTCCCTGGTGAATCCTCTTACCCTCTGCATCTCTGGCCTGTTCCCCACTTCTGTATGAATAAATAAATAAATCTTTTAAAAAAAAAGAATTATAAATAATGAGAACAAACTAACAAACACAGCAAAAATACTCTTCAATTGAAAAAGAGGATACAGGGCCCTCCCTGGTGCTGTAGTAACGGGTTAGGACACAGCACTGCAAGCTGGCTGAAGCTGCTTCAGTGTGGGTTCGATCCCATCTCCAGAGGTGGTCCATGTGGCATGGCAGGCCTCTCCTGACTTGTCTGCTGCTCCCCTCAGTGGTGTACTTTGTACTTCGTTGATCTGCCTGTCCTGCTTCCCACTCTGTCTATGGTAAAAAGCCTTTTACTGCCCCTGCACCTCTGGCTTGTACCCCAGTTCTGCAATAAGTAAATCTTAAAAAAAAAAAAAAGGAAAGAGAAAGAGGATAGGATACAGTAGAAACAGGTGGGAAAAACCACTAGGAGGTCATCAGTGTAATAGAGAGACTGACACTAGAACTTTGGCAGTGAGTGTGGTGAGGCAAATACACATATTAAGGTATTAAACTACTCCTGAAGTATAAGGACCAAGGGAGAAAATAATAATGATGATGAACAACTATGTACCAGAGACATTTTATGGAAGTGGAGTGGGGAATGGGATCAAAAATGGGGGGGAGGGGAAGTGCACTGGACTATGGTGATTGCACACGGGTAATTTGGTGATGGGAAGCCTACAGGGATTACAGCTGAGATGGAAAAAGGCACAAAATGATGTAAAAATAAACTATTATATATATTAAAAAAACCTTCTCTTGAAATTAAATAGTGTTGCAAACCTGTGGTAAATCAATAAAATTATTTGAAAAATAGTAGAGTATTAAGATGGAAGAAATTATTTAAGGAAATACTTTATTATCTTAATCTCAATTAAACATATTTTTATAAGTATAAGCTTACTAGTATACACTTAACAAGGTTATTAAATATACACTTAGAAAAAACACAGATATAAGTAAGCAAGAAATAAGGAATTTGAGAAAAAACATAGTTCTAAGATACCAACAAACTGAATCAAAGCTATTCTGTGGAATGAGAGACTTTCATATTGCTTAATTTGTCTCATCAGAGAACTATAATGATGCAAATAAAAACAATTGAATCAATCCAGTGTTTTAAAAGGACTTTAAAGTATTTGACACTTTAAGATGGTTGAGTGTATTAATTTTTATGACAGAATATATGCTAAAATAAAATGTAAAATCTACTGTAAAGAATTTCATTATCTTTTTTACAATTATATATATATATGTATCTATAGCTATATCTATCTATATATAAATTTACATCATTCTTCTTTATCTTTCTTATCAAAACAGGATAACAGCCCTACCCACTGGAGTATTGCAGATCTATGACATTAGCCAAAAGGATGCTGGAAATTATCGTTGTGTTGCTACTGCGATAGCCCACAGACGTAAAAGTATGGAGGCTTCTCTAACAGTGATTCCAGGTACCATACTATGGTGGTTTTTTGGTTTTTAATGACATAGATATTTATTTTCCTTGCTGGTTATAATAATATTCCATAAAGTAGTGCTTGAGTTTCATTTAAATTATTATATTCTGTTTACATAATGGCCATTTTAATCTATTAAGTAACTTGTGTCAGAGGCTCACTTGTTATAATAATGAAATTTATTTTGTAACTATTTCACTTTTGTTTTTAAAATGCAAGTTACATAAAAGAGAAAAGCAGTCGTCCATTTCTATCAGAATTGTCCATTGTCAATGATTAATTTTTTTCTAGTGGATCATTTTTTATTTGTTTTATGAAAAAAATCATGATTTTCATTTATAAAAATAACCTGTTTATTATAAAGATAATATCTGTAAAAGTAAAAAAAATTATATTGAACTCTATAAGGAAGCAAAGAGATATGTTTAAAACTATAACCCCAACTCTTAACTCTGAAGACTTACTGGTGGTTACCAGAAGAAAAAAGTGGGAAGAGAATGGGGATTAACTGGTTTGTAGATGGTGACTGAATATTTAGTGGTGGGTATGGTAAAATAAATGCAGTTGCTGAGATGAGAAAATGTAGCTCTGGTATCTATACAGTGTTGTAAGTTAATGTTGCCTCAATAAAAAGAAAAAAAAAAAGCTAATATCCCCAATTCAAATGCCCAGAAATTATTACTAGTAACAATAAGTGAACATTATGTTATATATTTTTCTATACATACATGTGTATATAGACAGACACATATATACACACACATGTAACAGCGGAAAAAGCTAGAGAGATGACTATGAAGAAAGAAACATATTATTCACATGGAATTATATGAAGGTGCTAGCTTTTAATTTTAAGTAATTTGAACTTACTTGAATGTAGTAGAAAGAAAATTTGAACTAAAGATGTAGCTGAAATTCACATGAATGTTTACTCCTCAGAAGAAATACTACTTCCTAAATAAACTATAAGGTTAATTTTTTTTGAGACATTGAGACATTGAGACTGAAATTATTTTTCATACTGTTTTAATTTTAGGCAGTACCCATTAGCTTCCTGACATGAAAGATTAAAAAAAGGCCTACTCAGACTTTTCCCTTTCTCCTCTGTCACAGAAATTCTTAACGAGATTAGTGAAAGTATTAATCGAATGTTTGAACCTCAACTCAAAGTACATTATATGGAAACAATTTAAATGTCCATCAACTGATGAATGGATTAATAATGTGTGTCCTAGCCTTATAATTAAATATTACACTATTATTGAATAATGATGAAATACTGATATGCAATATAGCATTGATGAACCTTGAAAACATGCCAAGGGAAAAGAAACCTATTGCCCAAAACTGCATAATGTATGGTTCCTTTTTATGAAATGTCTTGAATGAGAAAATCCAAAGAATCCAGAAGGCAGATTAGTGGTTATCAACCTATAGGTAGAGGAGACTGGATAATAACTGTTAATGGGTAAGAGGGTTCTTTTTGGGTGTGAGGAAAATGTTCTAAATTGATTAATCACTGCACAACTCTTAAAAATACTAAAAACCATTACACTACACTCTTCAAATGGGTGAATTGTACAGGTTAAATGAGTTACATATCTCAATAAATTTGTTTTTTAAAAAGAAAAAAGCTAGTAATTTATTAATAGGTTATTTAACTCATATTATTCATTATATCTTACTTAAAATTTGGTTTTATATTCTGCCTTTCCTCCCTAAAGCTAAGGTGTCCAAATCCTTCCACACACCAACTATTATAGCAGGCCCACAGAACATAACGACATCTCTTCATCAGACTGTTGTTTTGGAATGTGTGGCCACAGGAAATCCCAAACCAATCATTTCTTGGAGTCGCCTTGGTAAGTCCTTCTAAGTAGAAAAATAGTCTTTTCCTTTAAATTTGGTTCATTCTAGTAAAACTAATAAGATGCTTATTTTTTATACAAAAATTATTTGCCAGTTTAATGGCTTTTAGCCTTTTGGCAGTTCAGTGTGTAGAGAAAAGAGTTTTAGCTGAGAGAATTGTATGTGTTTTATGATATGACTGGATAGTGACGTTTTGACATAGTTTTAGATCATTTGCTACATTTTTCTAATTGAATTATTCTCTTTGAAATAGATCACAAATCCATTGATGTCTTTAATACGCGGGTACTTGGAAATGGTAATCTCATGATATCTGATGTCAAACTTCAACATGCTGGAGTATATGTCTGTCGAGCAACTACTCCGGGCACACGCAACTTTACAGTTGCCATGGCTACTTTAACTGTGTTGGGTATGTTTTCCGTCATTCTGCACCCAGAGGAATCGTACATTTTAACATTTGCTGTTTTATATCATTCATAGCTTACTTCCACCTTTCTTTAATTTTGTAGCATTGATAAGAGGTACTGTAGCACAATGATGAGTTTTCTTAGAAAATTAAAGCCATATGTTAGAATATAACTGTCATTTTGAAAAAGCCATCCTGAAAAAGCCATCCTGTTTGCCTACATACCACTATGTTCCTTTTTTTTATCATTATGTTCCTTGTTATTTAATATTCCCTTTTATCTCCACATCCACTCAGAAATCCATATATATACCCATTATCCAACCTAAAATTTCAGTCTGTTGATTATGTCTGTGTGCATCCACAAACTACTGTCTATTAGGGTTTAGTTATAGGGTACACATAGTTTTAGTGTGTTAATATGCTTAGTCTTAATAAGGAAGGAAGGCCTGTGGTGAGTAGACATCTGAGTAATGTAAAGGAAAGGCATCTGGATAGATGTATGTATATTTTGGATAAAAGACACAATGCCAAATATTTTCAGGTATGGTACTTGTACTGTCATTTGCTGTATTCTTCCTTGACTCTATATTGCTTGCATTCTCTCTCTCTCTCTCTCTCTCTCTCTCTGTGTGTGTGTGTATACTGCTCAATATATATTGCTATATATATATATTTTTGGGTTCATAAAAATAGGATTTTTTTTTCTTTTTTCTTTAAAATTAGCTCCTCCTTCATTTGTTGAATTGCCAGAAAGTTTAACCAGGCCTCGAGCTGGCACTGCTCGATTTGTATGTCAGGCAGAAGGTATCCCCTCACCCAAAATGTCATGGCTGAAGAATGGAAGGAAGATACATTCAAATGGTAGAATTAAAATGTACAACAGGTAGGCTCTGTCCCTTTATTACTTTTTACGTAAGATATCGTGACTTCAGTAATTTTTATGTAAAATGATTATAATTTTAATAGCAAATACCTACATTATCTTTGTATATAAAATAAAAATTAATTTTAAAAGTAAAGATTATAATATCAGCACACCATAATAGAGCCTTTTACATTTTATATATTAATCATAGAAATGATAGATTATAATAAAATGAATGTTCGGCAATTCCTCATGCCTGGTCTATAATCCTGGTTAAGTCACTAGGTTAATAGCAAGTATATTAACCCTTTGGAATTACAATTTCTTCTTTCACAAAATGGGAAATATAGAAAGAAATAATTGATTCTCTAACAATTCCTCTACAGTTCAAACTTAGAATCTTACAATTTCTAATACATGTGGAACAAAACTGAAGATTTTGTTGACCTGAATATTTGTATAACATGAAAAAATTATAAATTAAATGCTATTATGAAGTAATATCTTTCTCAATAAAGGCCAAATTTTTAAAAAGAGATTTAGTGTCACCTAAAGCATACAGAATTTTTATATCATAAGTGCTTGTTTACAGAAAATATTTTAATTCATTTAGATGTTTCAGTAGGACTAATGCCAGTTTCTTATTCCTTAATAACTTTTGTGATTTAACATGTGAGTGCACTTATCAGTAATTCAACTTTATTTTTATGTCATCATTAGGATTTTTCATAGGAATATTTTTTTTCTTTCCTCAGTAAACTAGTAATTAACCAGATTATTCCTGAAGATGATGCCATTTATCAGTGCATGGCTGAGAACAGTCAAGGGTCTATTTTATCTAGAGCCAGATTGACTGTAGTAATGTCAGAAGACAGACCCAGTGCTCCCTATAATGTACATGCTGAAACCATGTCAAGTTCAGCCATTCTTTTAGCTTGGGAAAGGCCACTTTATAATTCAGACAAAGTCATCGCTTATTCTGTGCACTACATGAAAGCAGAAGGTAAGCAATTTAAGGAATGTTTATTTTTCAGTGCTGCTTGTTGTCAATAATTTATTTTCAGTATGAGTGATGTCTTGTACAGTCCATAAAAATTTTTTGAAGTTCTGTGGCATTTCTTTTAATAATCTGTGATTCTGTTATCTTTTTTCATAAAGTTTGTATTTTTGTTCATTTTCCATATGTAAGTATAATTTCAGATTTTTGCTTCTTTTTAGAAGCAAGTACAAATATCTGCCTGCTAAAAATTAGAGTGGTGTCCTTATGAATTTTATTCCAGTCAATATGACTGAAAATATACTAATTTGATTATGTTATTACATAGGAATAATGGTTTAACTGCTTAATATAGTAAGCTATAGTCACTCTAACATATTATTTTTAAGGGGGAAATAAAAGCTAACAAAGCCCCCCATACCTGATTTTATATATTTTGAATATTTTCTGAAGTCACATAGAATTCTCTGAAAATTGAACAGGATACTCTTTGTTGGTAGCTCATTTAGTGTATAAAAGTAGAATTCAAATCTGTCCTGAATCCTTTACTTCAACTAGTATTTGTCTTTCTGGAATCTTTTTTATCATGTTTTCTTTTGGCTAAAAATTTTAAAGGTAAAGGAAAGTTACTCATAAATCCTAGAGATTTGTGTTGATTTTTCTTAGAAACCATAGTAGAGTTTTATAAATTCCATTTATATGTATAAACAGCTTTATTTTATACTGATTTAATGCAGTGTACATTAAAAACAAATTCAGACACTCAAAGAATGGTGACATAATAAAGTTGTCTGTAGAAACAGGTGGTTTGTTGTTGTTTGTTTTTTGTACTTTGAAGTAGTACTTTGAAAAGGAATATATTGAATTTAAATCAAGGGTCATGGTAGCAAGAAGAATGAAAGTCTGATAACTGAGTATGTTGGAGTATGTTAATACCCTTTTTAGTGATTTAGGAAGGTAAAAGGAATGCTGGTTTTGGTGGAGACCACTCCTGTTCACTATTATGGTTATTTCATTAGAGCCTCCACATGCAGCTCAGTGGTCTATTCAAGAACAGAACAAGGCTTTTTAATTCGAACTCAAGGACCTTGTTTGGTAGGTCAGAAATCGTACTATGCGGTTCCTAATTAACGAGCCATTAGCCAGTCTGTTGTGAAATGCCTGTAATCTTGTCTAATTAAAATGCTATCAAGTTAATTCAGAAATGTGGGAAAACTTAATAGTGGAATTTGCCTTCTGTTTTGTTTATAAATCCAGTGTGGAGAGAAGGGGCTTCATCCTTAGAGAGTTTTGATTAAGTTGACATGCATTTACTGTGAATTGTTCTCAAAGCACAGTAGCTGCCAGAGCTCTTGTTCCACTTTACAGGTTTTCTCTGTAGGAATTAAATCCCACAAAGACAAATCTACTTCTATACCTTGCCATGCATATTTTATTAAGAATTGCTGAGAATTTTTTTTCTTCTTTTAGAAAAAAGTTCTTTGTGGAACAAAGCAGTTTTTAAGCACATTCTGTGCCTCCTAGTTCTTTTACTTTCAATATAAATAAAAGAACAACTTGTGTCAGTCAAATTTAATAGAATCTCTAGGGGCAAAATAAGATCTTTTGCAGGGCAACTTTTGATTTGCTTTATTTTTACAAAGAGTGGAACCATTACACTCCCTACTGTCTCTTTCGTTTATGTTTAAAAGAAAAAAGAGACCATGAGTTTAAGCAAGTAAATTTCACACTGTTATGAATTACAATAATCTGGCAGTGTAAATTCTTTTGTGTTACTGCTATACATTGTCAGTGTTAAACGACATTGAGAAGAGATTAATTATTTTCACTTTGTTCAGTGGGAATTTCAATTTTTGAGAAAAATGAAATTGGCAATCTGTAGCAAGACATGGTTACTTTTAGGACAAAAAGCCTTCCTATTCATAGTTTTTAAAGAGTTGCAAAGGATAACAAAGATTAGAACCGTATCTACACAAAAACACTGGTTCAGAAAGATACCTGCATCCCCATGTTTATTGCTGCTTTATTTACATTTGGGAAGACATGGAAACAACCCAATGCCCAAAAGTGGATGACTGGATTAAAAAGATGTGGTACATATACACAACGGAATATTACTCAGCAACCAAAAAAAAAAAAATAAAAACATGCCTTTTGGAGCAACATGGATGGAGCTGGAAAAGATCATGCGTAGTGAAATAAGCCAGAAAGAAAAGGAAAAATACTGGATGGTTTCACTCATAGCAGGAGTATAACGGAGCAGGCGAGAAAAATAACAATAATAATGAATAGCTTTATACCAGAGACATTTTATGGGGTGGAATGGGATCAAAAAACAGTGGAGAGAGGGAAATGCACTGGACTATGGTGATGGCACACGGGTGATTTAGTGATGGGAAGCCTACAGGGATTACAACTGAGATGGAAAAGGCACAAAATGAAGTAAAAATAAACTATTATATTATTTAAAAAAAAATTAGAGCCAAGGGCCAGTATTTCATAGTCAAAGAAATGGTCTTGTTGATTTTATTTTGAATACTCACACTTTTTCAACAATGGTTCTTTACTATAGGTTTAAATAATGAAGAGTATCAAGTAGTCATCGGAAATGACACAACTCATTATATTATTGATGATTTAGAACCCGCCAGCAATTATACTTTCTACATTGTGGCATATATGCCAATGGGAGCCAGCCAGATGTCTGACCATGTGACACAGAACACCTTAGAGGATGGTAAGAAAGCACAATTCTTGGCCATTTTAGACTGAACACTAATATATATAATCAATTCCAGTGAATAAATGTTTTAAATTTTAAAAAAAACCATATCCTTTTTTGGTTAAAAAAGGAAGTTTGGTAATAACCTGACTAATTGGCCATTTCAAATGTTGCTTTTTGGATAATAACATAATAAAATAAAGTAAACTTTTTTATAATTCATTATATAAATTAGCATTAAAAGTATATTGCCACAGTATTTCTTTAAGATTCCTAGTTTAAATAATATACTTTTTAAAATTGAGTAGGATACAAATGTGAAAGTCCTTAGGCATGAATAAATATATAGAGTATTGAGTACATACACATATTGAGTATATACACACTGAGAATACAGTGCCCTACAGTCAGTACTGTAGGTCAGAGATATTGGACTTCTGAAATTGAAATTTAGTACCTGTCAGCTAAAAAGTTCTTAGAAAATCAAATATCAATTGTGTTATTTTTTAGATACAATAATGCTTTTTCTACTTAGGGGGGAAATATTACTTGTTCAGTTAATTACCTGACCATAGATATGAAAATAAATTGTCCTTTTGAAAACAGACTCTTAAAATGATGGGAATCTGTCAGGATTGTTCTGGAGAACTATTTCTGTTCCTCTAACTCATCATCTTTCTCTTTAAGGATACAAGAGGGTCACTTTTGTGTCTTGCAATTTGAAGGAGAATTATTTAACATATGATTAATTATATTATCCTCTCTTTATAAATGTTTTCTTATTCTCAGGAAATAATTTTTAGTTTTAAAAGAATTCTTCTATAAAATATTCCCAAGTCATTTTCTTTGTATATATGGCCCCAGATTGCTTAGTTATATTTATAAAATGCCACTTATTTAGATATTTATAAGTTTAGGGTTTGACTAGATGAAAAAATTAGCACTAACATGGATCCTGAATAATACTATCAGTTTTCATCTAAAAGTCCATTGTATTTTGGAATGAACCACATTGTATATGATATCCCTAGTTATCTCATTACATTTAATAATCTCTGACATGAATATCTATGCTGATACAAGCTGGTTTTGTCATGTTTTTGGTATGTGAAGTATAATCCCCCTCTATTCTTTTTTATAGAGATTTATTTTTATTTATGCATATAAGAACTGGGGCGTAGGCCAGAGATACGGGTTGGGGAGGATGAGAGGATTCACCAGAGACAGAGTGGGGAGCAGAACAGGTGAATCTACTGAAAGACGCTGCTGAGGGGCGTAGTGGGCAAAACAGGAAGGGTCTGCTGTGCCATGTGGATCAGCTCCCTGGCAGCAGATCTGACTCAGGCTGCAGTGGCTGCCAATATCTTGATAGCGTTAACTTTAAGCCCTGTGCCAACAAGAGGACCCCCTATATTCTTGAAGAAAATGAGTCTAAGTGTAGCAAGTTATGATCTCAAAAATTTTCTACTTTGGCCCTCCCTGGTGGTGCAGCAGGTTAAAGCACAGCACAAAGAAGTTGAAGTCTGTTCCTCATGAGTTCGATCCCCGCCTGCCCTGGAGGAGATCCACATGGCATGGCAGACCTCTCCTGACCCGCCCATTGTTCCCCTCAGCAGTGTACTTCGTCAATCTGCCTGTTCTGCACCCCAGTCTGTCTCTGGTGAATCCTCTCACCCTCCGCATCTCTGGCCTGTACCCAATTCTGTACGAATAAATAAATCTTTAAAAGAATTTTTTTCTACTTTAAGTCTTTTTTTTTTTTTTAAGATTTATTTATTTGTGCATACAGAACTGGGGTACAGGCCAGAGGTGTAGGGGTGGCGAGAGGCTTCACCAGAGACAGAGTGGGGAGCAGAACAGACAGATCTACGAAGTACACTGCTGAGGGGAGCAGCGGGCGGGTCAGGAGAGGTCTGCCACGCCATGTGGTCTCCTCCAGGGCAGGTGGGAATCGAACTCAGGCAGAAGTGGCTTTAGCTTCTCAGTGCTTTGCTTTAACCTGCTGCGCCACCAGGGAGGGCCTTAAGTCTTTTTTTACTCTGCATTTTAAAATAAAGTTCTTTTTGCTTTCTGGATTATGTGCAGACTTCAGTTTTTCAAATGTCTCTATTAAGCCCTCCTTCCCACCAAGTGTATTTCCTAAAGCCCATACTTCTCAAACTGAGATATGTGGGGCTTCTAGGGTGCGCAGCAGAAACAGCTAACACTGTGGAATGATAATCTTGGCTGTTCTAAAAATCTTCCCCCGTAATCTCTACAGAACCCTATAAAAGAATTACTATTATAAAAGAGTTGGAGTAGGGCCCTCCCTGGTGGCGTAGCAGGTAAATGCATCCCTAAGAAGCTAACGCCACTTCAGCATGTGTTCAATCTCAGGCCCCAGAGGTGACCCACATGGCTCAGCAGACCTCTCCTGACCTGCCCGCTGCTCCCCTCAGCAGTGTACTTCATCAGTCAGCCTGTTCTGCTCTCCATTCTGTCTGCAGTGAAGCCTCTCACTGTCCCTGCACCTCTGGCCTTTACCCCAGTTCTTTATGCATAAATAAATAAATCTTTAAAAAAAAAAAAAGTTGGAGTAAGAGGATAAGAATGTAGGTTGTAAGTTTCTTCACTTTCAAGGCTTCTGATCTTAGGTAACTGCTTTAACCTCTGTGCCTCAGTTGCCTCAGTTGTAAAGTTGAAATGGTATCTCCTTCATTGGGTGTTAATGAGTTCACAGACATTAAGGACTCAGACGTTCTTAATTGATTTTTTTCTCTCTCCCACGATGCTTTCATTCCTTCAGTAATTATTTATTGAGTGCCTGTTGTGTCTTTTTCAGCATTTAATAGTGAACAAATAGTGACTTCATAGAACAGGAGGCAGAGGAGCTATAAGACAAACAGTTGTTATACACCGTGTTAGCTAATACTAAGTCTATAGGAGAAGGGGAAAAGCTAAGGAGTGGGAGTATGAAATGTTGGAGTATTTGACAGTTACCAGAGAAGGGCTCACTGAGTAAATGACATTTCAATGGCAACCTATAGAAAATGAAAACAAGGGAACTAACTAGGCAGATGATGGGAAGAAGTTGTGCACTTTAGGCAGTGGAAATGGGCACTGCTAAGTGCCTTAAGCCCTGGCATGGCTGGAGTGCAGGGAACAAGGTGACAAGGCGAAGAAATACTGAATAGCCCAAGCATAGCTGGTAAGGACTTTGTGTGAAGTCACAGTGAGAACTTGACTTTTGCTTTGAGTAAACTGGGAGACAGTTCAACAGAAAAGTGTACAAATAGGATATTTTAACAGCTGATGTGTTGGGAATAGATGGTAGTTAACAGGGGCAGAAGCAGGGAACTCTATTAGCAAGTAATTGTGACACCAAAAGTTGAAAGTGATGGTAACATAACAAGACAAGGCAGTAGAGGTGGGTAGAACCACGGGGTTAAATGTGGTATGTGTGGAGCACAGATGTTTTTGGCTTGTGCAGTTAGATAAGTAATTGCCATTAACTGAGTTGGGAAAGACTATAGAAGGAGCTGTTATAATTATCCCCATTTTGTATGTGAAGAAACGTAGACAATAGAAAAGTTAATTTGACTGAAATCATGTAGAGTAGTAAGTTGAACAAGGATTCAAACACACAGAAACTACCTCCTGTTAATTTATATTAACAATCTTAATATTAATTTGCTTCCTATTACATTTGCCTCATTTTCCTGGAACCAGTTTTATACATTTTGCTTGGAGAAAAGCAAGATATTTATTTTCATGTTAAGTGTTACAGTTGAAAATAACAAACACAATAATTTTTAAAAATACAACACTTATGGCCCTCCCTGGTGGTGCCACAGGTTGAAGCACTGCACTGGAAGCTTAGGCCACTTCCGCATGAGTTCGATTCCCGCCTGCCCTGGAGGAAATCCACATGGCACGGCAGACCTCTCCTGACCGGCCCGCTGCTCCCCTCAGCAGTGTACTTTGATGATCAGCATGTTCTGCTCTCCACTCTGTCCCTGGTGGATCCTCTCACCCTCCGCATCTCTGGCCTGTACCCCAGTTCTGTATGAATAAATAAATAAATCTTTTAAAAAAAAAACTAACACTTATACTTCAAAATATTACTTGCCACCTTATAGCCATGGTATCCGAAGTTTCCCTACTGTTGTAAAATTCTCTCTTCCTTGTTTCTGTGGCTCTCTGGTGTAATTATTTGAGAGGTATTCTCAATTTTGTATGGATATTAAGTAATGTCATAATCATTTCAAATAACAAAACAATAAGAACAAACATGAAACCTTTGCTTTCTTTGGTTCCCTATGTCTGATCCTACCTTATTCTTTTCCTTTTTTAGTGGTTTGTACTCTGATTAACTGAAAACCTTTGTTAAGTGTTCCTATTAAGAGAATTCAATAAGTACTAGTGTGCTGATTGACAATTTGGAATCTAAATATTTACAAGCCACCTATTGTCTTTTATAACTAGTTCCCCTGAGACCTCCTGAAATTAGTTTGACAAGTCGAAGTCCCACTGATATTCTCGTCTCCTGGCTACCAATCCCAGCCAAATATCGAAGGGGCCAAGTGGTGCTCTATCGTCTGTCCTTCCGCCTAAGTACTGAGAATTCCATTCAAGTTCTGGAGCTCCCAGGGACCACACATGAATACCTTTTAGAGGGCCTGAAACCAGATAGTGTCTACCTGGTGAGGATTACTGCTGCCACCAGAGTGGGACTGGGCGAGTCATCAGTATGGACCTCACACAGGACACCTAAAGCTACAAGTGTGAAAGGTAAATCTAAACACTATTGAGGAAGAGTAGCACAGTATTTTTGCTTTTGAATAAAATTTTCTTAAGTTACATTCATACTTTAAACTTTCATTTTAGGAATAAAAATATTCCATAGAACATAAAGTTCATTGAAAAAAATGTGTTAAACTTTTAATTGAATAGTCCCCTTTGCATAGAATGCAGTATACCAACTTTTGGCTACATTATTAATTCATTTAGCAAATCCTTCATAGACTGAATCAAAGTGAATTTCAACCAAAAGTTACATACTAATAGAGACCTAATTAATATTATTATTATAAAAGTTTTAAATCGTCCATTTAAAAGGAAGACAGTAAGATTAGAAAGTTTTAGACCCTCTGCTTTTATTAATGTAGAATATAATGCTAGTAACATTGGTGTTTGTTGTTAATAGATTAATAATCATACCTATGCTCTCATCATAGAAATGTTGAATGGTCAAAACTAGAAAGTATTGGGGAAGGTGGAAATACAGTGTGAAGCGGGGCATAATGAACTATGCTGGAGGACTGTGGGTCCCTTAGTGATATGTGCAGCATGAGGACATGCAATTGTGACCCTGTGCCTCTGAATCACATACAGTGTTTTAAACCATTGTTTTTTTCAATTAAAAAAATTAGAAAGTATTCTCCTTGAAAAAATTGTTTTTATTTATGTGTTTTAGACTTATAGGTAATTTAGCTTAATCATTTTAATAATATTTTAAATTCTCTCTCACATTTCAATATTATAAAAATTTTCAAAGTTAGATTTAAGATAATTGTTGGAATTGAAATTTTTTTGCACTGTTGGCTTAAGACTGAGATCTACAATTCTGTGTTTTCATGTGAATTATAAGTAAATATACATACATTTCTGTTGAATTTTTCCAGCCCCAAAGTCTCCAGAGTTGCATTTGGAACCTCTCAATTGTACCACTATTTCTGTAAAGTGGCAGCAGGATGTTGAGGACACAGCAACCATTCAGGGGTACAAGCTTTACTACAAAGAAGAGGGGCAGCAGGAAAATGGTCCCATTTTTTTAGACACCAGTGACCTTCTTTATACGCTCAGTGGTTTAGGTAAGCCTGAACTGTGCTTCTCCTCTTTATCTTCCTCTGTAACTCACTTGGGGAAAAGTTAATGAATTTAAAGTTAACTTGATGGTAAAAAAAAAAGAGAATTGACCTCACAAACATCACTGTCACTGTATATCCTGCTTTTTAAGTGACTAGCTTTTGGCTGTGAGTAAACTGAAAAATGTCAGCTTTCTTTTTTATCTTTCCCCCACTCTGGGCATCTGCTTTTCTCTTTAGAGTTCACTTTGGTAGATTGAGATCCTGACCAATAGTCTGAGTATGTGGTGAATGTAGACTAGGAATGCAACATAGGAATATCAACAAATGATCAAATAGTACTCAGTGAAAAGTTTAACTTAGAAGTTTCCTGAGCATGTTGTGTAGGTGTATTATTTTACATGTATAAAGTATATGTAAAATATGCATAAAATAATGCTCTTATGTATGACCTGTGCAGCTCTGCATATTTATTTTATGTAGCTGTAATCCAAAACACAAGAGGAAAAAATTCTTAACTTTATATCAAGTGAACATGATAACTACTACACTATGGACACTAAAATTGTTAACTTTGTGTTAACAAGGCTCATCAGAGTCCTTTCAGACAGTTTTGTTCTATAATCATCCTGTCTTTGCAGAGTGAAAGAATTTCATGATGTATCCATGTTTAGTGGGGGGAAAAACTGTAGTAAACACTTGACTATAATCAGAAACATAGTTGATATGTAAAATCCACCCTTAGCTGCTTATTGCTCTGGAGTAGATTTTCACCTTTAAGTACAAAACAGTAAGTTTAATTAGGATTACTAGCCAAATACATACTGGGTTGTTATAACAAGTATTGGACTTCTGCAAAGCACTTTGACTGTCTCTGTCACATACTGCCCTTTGAGGTACAGTGGTCCAGCAGGGACTGGTCCACTTCTTTCCCTATCTTTATAGTAGTAGGGCTGTGAGAGTAACCTTTAACTTGAGTGCCTGTACAGTAGAAAGCAGAGGTGGAAATCTGGTTTTAGATGCAGGGACATAGATTCTCATCCTCTTGATCTTTGCCATTCTTTTACCATATCAATTTGCTTTTAATCTTAGTTAAATGAGTTTCACTGTTGATCTGTCAGCTGTATAGTGATGGGAGAAGTTAGATATGTCCCAGGGTGACCTTCCTTATACTGAGATGATGTTAGCCTGATCTGCTACCTCCAAAGTAAGCAACTGTTAACTCTAGCTATGTCTTCTCATTATCTTTCCTCTTTCCATATTCATTATTTGTTCAAGAAAATTACTCAGTATCAATCAAATTCAGTACTTTCAGTTTCTTCACTGTTAAGAAAATATGAAAATGAAAAAAGAAAATATGAATATGTAAAAGATAAAAAAATAGGTTCATAATACACATTTTTTGAACATACTTTGTAGGAAGTTTATTCTAAACAAATGAATAATTTATTAGCAAAAACCAAACTAATATTCTGCCTGGGAAAAACTTACATAGACATTTTATTAAAACTTTGACAATTCAAAACAAGTTTTTAAAATAAAAATTGAAGTCTACAGATTCATTTATATATATATATATATAAACACCCATTAGTCTTTGTTGACATTTTTATAGCTTCTAAATAATAGTTTTCAGTACTTTATTTATTCCTATGTTTTAAAAATAAATTGCATATATTGTTGTTTGTGTTTGTTATGTTGTACAGTCCTTTGCAGATGCTATTTGGGATAATTCAGGTTAAAATCACTTTATAACGCATGAGTTAAGAAACTATTTTGTTATAGTCAATTTGCCCTATTAAAATAGCTCTATATTTCCTATCTATGGAATTAGACTGAATTGTTGGTCTAATCACAGTGTAGGACAACAGAGAATTCTGTCACAGCTGTAGGGCTTTCTTGTTCAACAGCAAGCTCTGCACCCCTGGAGTTGCCAAGTCATGGCCTGAGCGGTAGAATAGCAGGGTTGCCTTGTGCGGATTCAAGCACTGTACAGCTGTTGACTAGATCACCTTTAAAATGCCTTTTAATCTTGAGAGCCTAGGAGTCTAGTCTTCCTTTTCTAGGAAGTCACTGCTGGGGCTCAGCCAAGCTTACAGCAAGTGAATGGATTTAACCCATGAAGCAGGCAAGTGTTTATAGCTCTCACCCCTTTCCTTCTTACTTTTAGCCATTGGGAGGGCAGTCTGATCTGCCCTCAGCTGACATCCCAACTGGACAACTGACCATCTGTGACCATTTTTAGGGAGAGCATCTGGCAGTTGCTGCCTGTTTAACAGAGAATGATGTGTCTAAAGGGCAGTAGGTTAAGGGAATCCTATCTGCTTCTTGTATAGTGAATACTCGCTTTCACTGAGCTTTTGCACATTGAATATACTCTAACTAGAACTAGATTTACTGAGTGGGCTTGGAAATGAAATTTAAATGCTTCTGTTTGCTGATTCATTTGAATAGCAAATTGATAACCCAGAATTTCATTTTCATACTAATGCCCTTTTTGATGCTCTAATACACATACTTTGGTTTTCACTGCTGGTAATTAAGTTTTCAATAAAAAGGTATGTAATTGGGACATGTTATTCTTGGTAATACATGCAGTTCTTTGCTTCTAAAAAAAAAAAGAAAAGAAATAGCTAAGTGAGTTATTTTTCAATTAATTTGATAAGCATTTTGTATTTTTCTGAACCAGATAAAAAGATGATAGAACCAGATAAAAAGATGTGATAGATGTGACCCCTGCTTAAAATAGGGAGAATTAAACTGAAAGATATGACTGACTTGTCTCATTTTTCCCAGAATTTCTGATTAACTAAATTTAATTGTAGTTAATAAGGAAAGAACTATTTTAGAACATTTTACTCTAAACCCTAAAAGCTCATTTTCCTGAAATGTAGAATGTCTATACTTTAAAGTGGCTAAAAAGATTCTTATGTCTTCATTAACATAGTATAAAATATGCTGAGTAATGAAATTATTTTGATGCTGCAAGTGTTCTAGTTTAAAGATTTTACAATCTACAGTTTGCTTTTAATAAAAATGGCTTACTTTCGGGAGGGTTGGGGAAAAACACTTTGTGCTTAAATATTTATGTGATTTGTTATAAATTGTGATCTGAAGTTTTGTTCAAGATTTTGTGTTTTGTGATTATTTTCGCTTAAATATTTTTTCTTGGAATTTTCAATATATGTTTTGAGTAGAATTTAAAAATTAATAGCACACTTTATGTTAATAGACTGGTTGAAATAATGCATTCCTCTGTTTTCAATGTTTATTTCAGAAATTTGCTTTGAATTCGAAAGTTGGAGTTTCTAATAGCAAAAGAAGTATTTTCCTAACCTGCCAGAAATTGTTCTTCATTGTTCAGTATTTGTATAGTATTTGTATAATAGAACACAAATGGTGGTGTTAGTTTAGCTTCTCTTTTGTCATAGAACCTGTGCTACTCAGTTTCACAGCTTGCAGTATTAGTAAGCATGAGATTGAGCACCATCTGTAAAGATTCAAATTATTTAAAATCATTAGTAATGTTCGTAGATGATTTGTACACTTTCAAAACTCCCTAAGAGTAGCAATGCCTGGTTAATAATGTAATGTTAAAGTCACTTAAATGTTAAAGTCACTTAAACCAGTGTATGTGGAAGCATGATATTATTAAGTCAAATTTCTGGGTGTCTTATTTTACATAATAAAAGAGGATTTGGTATGTTGTTACATATACAAAGAAAGGAAATTGAAAACTATCATATTGGTATGGGACTAGAAGAATTTGTAATCTTCCCAAATTTCCCAAGGCAGGAAAAGATTCAGTGGCATAAAAGAGACTACTTAAGCAGGTACATTATGAACCTAAGAGTTATGACTTTGTGTTAAAGAGAAGTAAAATAACTCAACTTATGAAATATGGAAGGTATTTTTTTTAAAGCTTTATTTATTTATGCATACAGAACTGGGGTACAGGCCAGAGGTGCAGGGACAGCGAGATGATTCACCAGAGACAGAGTGGGGAGCATAACAGACAGATCGACAAAGTACACTGCTGAGGAGAGCAGTAGGCAGGTCAAGAGAAGTCTGCTTCAGGGGCTGGTGGGGTTCGAACTCAATTCAAGCTGAGTGGTTTTAGCTTCTTAGTGCTGTGCTTTAACCCTCTGCACCACCAGGGAGGGCCACCAGGGAAGGCCCAGAGGTCATCTTTTTTTTTTTTTAAAGAACATTTTTTTTTTTAAAGGTTTATTTTTGCATACAGAACTGGGGTACAGGCCAGAGGCTGAGGGGCGGCGAGAGGCTTCACCAGAGACAGAGTGGGGAACAGAACAGGCAGATCGACAAAGTACACTGCTGAGGAGAGCAGTAGGCAGGTCAAGAGAAGTCTGCTGCGCCATGTGGTCACCTCCGGCGTGGGGATCAAACTCATGTGGAAGCGGCTTTAGATTCTCAGTGCTGTGCTTTAACCCGCTGCGCCACCAGGGAGGGCCCAGAAGTCATCTTTTAAGGCAAACTATAAAGTCTTTTGAGAAATTCTTTCCTCACCCCTCTCACACAAGGAAATCTAAGATAACACAGAAAAATCTTTGAAAACATCCTAGATGAAAATCCTTATAATGTGGTTGTTTCACAACTTTCTGACTGCGTTTCTTTTGATGCAGTCAAAATGCTCTATATTTTATAACTAAATCTTCCTATTCATGAATACTTACAAGTATATCTTTACATACTGATTTTAACCTGCAAATTCATTTAAGCTAAGAAGTGCCTTGATAGCAACTACCAGCTCAAATGCTGTAGATGCCAGAATTCTTTAATTCTGTGGTAATTGATAATCAGTGACACAAGTATCATTAAACATTCTGCCCAGATTAGCATTCACTTTATATTTATTTGTTGACAGACTATTTTTAGGATTGGTGTACAAATTCTATTAACATTGCATTCATTTACCAAGGCAAGACATACCTCAAATTTTTTGTCTCTCTTCAATTCTTCTTATGCCTAACCACAATTATTTTCCA